CTTATCCCAAGTGCAGACGTAAGTTTATTTTATTTTATTTGTTATTACAGGGAAATTGCATTTAAAACTTTGGGTGGCCTGTGAATAAATAAAACAGGGAAAAGAGTATAGGCAAAGAATGAATAAAATTGTTCAACTTTCTGTGAATGAATAATGGGTGGTCACAGGACAACTTTGTCTTTGTTGGCTTTGTGTGAATGAATAATCGGTGGTCACTTTGCAACTTTATGTGAATGAATGAATACAAAGCCTATACTTTTTTTCCTGTTTTTTTCATTCACAGACTGTGAATGAAAGCCATATATTGCAATTTTTTCCCAAAAAATTTCTATCCTGCACGATGCATTTAAAACTTTTTTAAAAAAAAATTCGAATAAATCTCCCGACATTAAGTACACAAACCTAAATAAAATTTTCTTGATTCATCACTGCTCTGTAAAGCACTAGGGGCTCGTTTGGTACGTGGGATTTTTGGAGATTCTCGTGAAACTGAATTTTTCTAAATTTTTTATTTTAAGATATTATCGTAAACTGAATGTAAAAATTATATTTTTAAAATTTGAGATTCCCAGATAAAAAAAGATTTTTCGTGTGCCAAACGCCCTCTAAATGTAAGTATAGCTCCCTTTTTATTGCATAGTTGATGAGATGATGTGATGAAATGACAAATAATAATAAATGGACTATATGACCATCATGTAACTCAAAGAAAATCAATTTTCAAAATATGGGATTCACAAGTTTTGTTTTCTCTTTCCTAATCTCACTCTCTCTCCTTTACTGTACTGCGAGCATAAATAAACAATGCTTTCTCTATAACATAATAATTATAAAGGTAAAAGTGTATATCATTTTAAAAGATATAAAGTTGTGTCATTTAAGTGAGAGAAAAAGATAAATTATGGAAGAGAGAACGGAGGGAATTTTTTTTAAAGATATGGGTCTAATTTTTTTATGAGAGTGAAATGAAAGGATGTAAAGTGTGTTATTTAAAATGACTTCTAATTATAAAACAGAAAGAATAATCAACAAAAAATTCTTTGCCCTACATAGACAATATTATTGGTCACTTTTTACTAGTTTTAACTAAAGAAAAAGTGTATCAAATGGTGGTAGCTCAGTTGGTGCATGAGAGCTAAGCAGGTAGGGGGAGAGCATGTGTTCGAATCTCCCCAGTATCACCTTTGAGAGGGGTTTAAAGTCTTAATCCTGGACCCGCCCCGAATCGGATTAATTGTAAAGCAATGAACCGATCGGAATATTTCCAAAAAAAAACTAAAGAAAAAGTGTGTGTCATTTTAAATGATGTAAAATTATGTCATTTTAAGACAGAGAAAGAGATAGATAAAGGAGAAGAGAAAGTTGACAAAAAAATAAAGGTGTGAGTTTCATTTCTGTATGAAAGTAAAATGATATAAATTATGTCATTTAAAATAATAAACAGTTTTTCCTTTAACGAAAGCTTTCATGATTCATATTTAAATATTTTGTTTAGTTTCCATTTGGCGGTAATCCTAATGAAAGGACTTGACATGGCACATGTTCTTTTTAAGCCAACTATGATTTACGTGGAGAACTTGTGAACAAAAAATGTACACTAAATTAAATTTGAACAATGAGATTTTTCAAAAATCGAACTAAAATTCTTACCTAAAATTGGCAAACTCACAATATATATTTTTTTCCCTTTATTTCTTTTCTTGAGAATGGAAGGTTGGTTTGACCCGTTTTTCCTTTCAAAAAGAGTTTGCATATTTTGGAGAATATGCTATAGTTTTTTTTTTACTAAATACTAATTTATGCTCTCTCTTATCCCATCATCTTGACTTTTCTAATTTTAATGCATTTCCATATTCTTCTCTACCACCAATGAAGACTTCTTTTGTTATTTTTTTTTTATTCTTAACTTGGCTATTGATCCATAATTTCAAGTAGCTTTCAAATCCTATGGCAAAACTCCCCCAATTAAGCTAAGGATCAATCAAACACGTGCTTTTTTATTTTATAAAACTCAACGACTTTGGGGATCTTGACATCAATTTGATCCCAATACTCCTTGCTCTAAGTTGTAACTCCTTGAATTGAATGTATTATGTATATGTTACGTTCTTGTTTATTTATTTTAAAAATTTTGAGATGATATGCAAAACTATTAAAATATCTCAAAGTCTTCATTTGACTTCAATTTATATAAAGAATATATTTTTCATGTTGCATGAGATAAAATTGTCTTATGCAACACAAAAAAATAGATAAAACTCATTAAAGAGAAGAGAGAAAAAACAAGCGGATCTCACATACTTTTTATGTATGCACGAAACAAAATTATCTTATGCAACATGATAAATATATTTCTTAATTTTTATTATCTGTTGCATAAATATTTTTATATTTTTTATTATAGAATTACAAAGTCTAATTTCTCATATAGTTATTATTATGATTAATATATTAATGAAATACTATCATAATAAAAAACTTTGACAATTGATCAAAATTAATTTTTAATTAAAACTTGTACGATTTTTGTCTTCTGCATCAAGCATTGATTCAATTGGTTGACTTCATAAATTGAGCATTACTTGTTACACGTAATTGTTTAAAAAAAAAATTAATATTATTTTCTAATGGCAAAGCATATGTGAAATTGGCTAAACAGAACGAATAAAATTCAGAGTAGTCACAACTTTTAATAATATATTTATTTAATAAAAAATAATCAAATAATTAGGATTCATAACGCTCAGGTAACAAAAAGGAAAATAACAAGAATTATAAAAATATCCCTACGGAAATAAAAAAGATAAAACAAATTGAAAAAAAATTACAAACTCAATAAAAAGGACCCTAAAAGTCTAAAAAACGTTGGGGACTCATGATTTGAAGGGCCCAATCAAATTTGAGCTCATTTTGAAATGGTTATCCCGAGATTATCTTTTATTAAGACTTTCTCAAAATAATTTACTTTTTTTCAAGAGTTAAAGAAGAAACCGCTAATTAGTAACTACTTAGTGCATATAATTCAATAAAAAAGATGAAACAAAATGCTACATAACAGAAGAGTAATTTGGTTCAGTTCCATTGTCATAGTTAGATACAAAGAAAATTCTTATACTATGTAGGACACCTGCTAGTTTATGACTCATTTTTATTAAAATGCTTCGCCTTTGTTCTTGATTTAGCTTGGCTATATGTATTCTCTCTGCTGATGTTTTTGTCTTCTTATTATTTGTTTCATGACCCACTTAACTTTGTTTATGTAGATATCTATTAAATGCGTGGGGTATTGTCTTCTCAATCCCACGAGCAATTTGAACAGTATTAGATCTCATACCTTCTTTAGTTTTGATCACAATAATTAATAAATAAGTGAAGATAAATTATCAAACAGGTTGTTTGTTGTTAGAAAGTTTGATGCAAGATTTAATTTGTGAAGAGTTATGAAGAAGTGAATGCAATAAAATTGTCATGAAAAATTGAAGATTTAAGTTGCAAGAAAAAAATTTAGATTTCATGAAATAGTTGGATGAGGTGAATCATGATTATATCTTGGGTTACATTATCTTAAAGTTTTGGAGCTACTGTAGATAGAAAATATTTATTTTAATCTAAATAAATCTTTAAGATTTGGTTTTTTATTTAAAATAGAAAAAGTTAAATTTAAGATTAAATTCCTTTTTGAAAAATTTGATTCTATCTTATTTAAATTTGAGAAAGTTAATTTTTTAGAAAATTATTTTGAAAATTTTGATTATATTTTAAAAAAGAAATTTTGGAAAATTTTCTTAAAAATATTGAAAAACATATTTAGTACAAAAATTTAGAGATTTTCCCTTTGTAATTGATTTTTAAAAAAAAGTTAATTAAAACCATACTTTGAATCTTTCTTCAAAATGTGGGTAAGCATTCAAGATAGAAAACATGTTGAACGTATCATGAGTAAATTATTGTACATATGAAAAGTATTATCTCTAATCCAAACAATAAATAGAAGAGAAAAAGAAAATTAAAGATGAGAGAAAAAAATTATCGTGAGACCAAAAATACAAAGTACCAAAAATACGAGTCTAGGAGATAAAAACAAATTATGTAATATAAGAAAAATATTACCCTTCCATAATCACCAAGACCAGAAATTCAAAGTGTAATCTTTCAATATTCTATAATTTGTAATGGGCCGATCTAGTTATTCCTTTACAGTTTCAATAAGACTGACCAAAAAAAGAGAAGGAAAATAAAATAAGAGAGACAGAAATAAATGTTAAATAAAACATTGCAAATATGGAAGGAGGTAGTTGCCCCACGAGTAATTTTCTCCTTGGTTCTCCCGAGTCTCAACCTTATGATCCAACAAGAGAAGGTGGAGCAAAAAATATTTATTTCTTATTTTTTGAAAGGGGAAAATTATGCCTTGATTTCAAATTGATCCACAGTAACCAAACAAATAGTAAAGGTGATAAACCTAAAATAATGATAAATATAACAGCCCTTTTTTACAAAAGAAACCTAAATAACAAAGTTCATGTTAAGAACCTTGGGATACACCACCTCAAAAACTATTTCAAAGGGTGAGAGTGTCCAAAGCCTTATAAACTCCACATTAGTTGCATCTTAACACGCCCCCTCACGCAAGAGTCCCAATTTTTGGTTTACCTTTTTTGTGCTTCAACTTTAAAGTGGGGGCGGTGAGGATCGAACCTCAAACTCTGATACCATATTAAGAACCTTAGATACACCGCCCCAAAAGCTAGCTCAAAGGGTGGAAGTGTCCAAAGCCTTATAAACTCCACATTAATTGCTCTTCAACCAATGTGGAACTATATATCTCAACAGTTCACACAACCACTGAATCACAGGAAATTCCACACAATCTAAAAATTAATATAAAAAAACTAACAAAACAAATTAAAACCTATCAATCATACAGAAATAAATAAGAACCAGAGAATTACAACAAAGGAAGGGGCAGAGAGTGAGAGATAAGAAAAGCTTAAAAGGGACCAACATTGATAATAAAGCTGTCAAAGTCAAACAAATATTACTTGAATAAGAGAATCATCAGTACTCTAAAATCTAAAAATTACTTAAGGGGTCAATCTAGAACGGTTCACAACAACAAACTAAAATGGACAGTCATTTCACTCTCAACCAAGAATCAGTTCTGCTGCTTCCTACTCGCTTTACAAATCTGTTACCTCATATGCCCTTGTTAAAAAACACTTGTACAAGTTGTTCCATGTAATTCTTTCTACCTTCATAATCAAATTCAGGACCATGTACTTCTTCCTAGCTTGCACCTGATTCCTAAGGATGAAACTCTTACTGCTGCGGCGGTGGCGGCTGCTGATGATACACATATTGCTGTGCAACCGGCTGCAAATGAAACTGGGGATATTGCGGTTGTTGAAATATCTGTGGCTGTGGCTGCAGTTGTGGTGGTGGCAGCTGCTGTTGTTGTGGTAGTAGCTGTTGCTGTTGCTGCTGCTGCTGCTGCTCTTGCTGCAGGTGCTGTTGCTGTGGAAGTGTTTCATCCCTTAACGGTGCATTGAGGTCCATAGTTCCCAGTACTTCCAATTCTTGAATTGCTGCAATTGCTGTGACTGGACTTTCATGGTTAAAATGAGGCTTAAGCACTGCAAGAGATTCCTTGACCTTTGATTGCTGCAAATTAATGAATGGAGATAGAAATATGACAACTTTACAATTATATATAATAAACAATTGATGATTCAAACCAAAGACTATTTTAGCTTACAAAGTGTTCAAGTTTCCTCGTGAGATCTTCATTAGCAACATTTTGCGAGGTACTAGCAGCAGTTGTTCCCTATCCCACCAAAAAAGATGCATTAGAATATGGAAACAAGAACAACGTCTATAAATTTAGAAAACAAAAAAAAGTGTTAAAATATAGTTTTTGTTCCTTATATGTGATACTAACTTTCAATTTGATACTTATGAGTTATGCCAACAGAGTCTTCAATTTAATCCTTGTATAAAAATCATTTTTAATTTAGTCGTCCTCATCTATTGCTGTTATAATACTGTATTTTGAAATTAAATCACCATAAAGTGTAGGGACCAAAGTAAAAATGAATCTCATGTATAGGTACAAAAAATAAGCATTGTTATAATTCCCAGTAACTCTACTAATAATGACAGTAAATAGCAAGGACTAATTTGAACCAATTGTACGCATAAGGACAAAATTGAAAATGAGTGTTCTTTACAGGGACAAAAATATATTTGAACAAAAAAAGGACATCTAACAATGATAAAGTAATTCAGTCATTTCAACTCTAAGCACAAAAATAGTAACATCATTAGGTATCTTGGGAACAAAATTAATTTTAAATCATACAAAAAAAATTGTTATAGAACTTGTTCATACATTTCTATGATCCATTCAGATCCTTTTCTATAGATGATGTACTCTATCCCACCAAAAATGATGCAATAGAATATGCAAATAATAACAATTTCTAGAAATTTAGAAATAAAAAAAGGTAGGACATCTAACAATAATAAAGTAATTTAAAAATTTCAACTCTAAACACAAAAATAATAACTTCAGTAAGTATCTTGGGAACAAAAACAATTTTAAATCATACAAAATTTTGATATAGAACTGGTATATAATTTTTTATAGTCCATATAGTTCTTTTTCTATAGAAAGTGTAATAGAATATGCAGAAGTTGTAACCTATCCCATAAAAAAAGATGCAATAGAATATGCAAATTAGAACATTTCCAATAATTTAGAAAGCCAAAAAAAGTAGGACATCTAACATAATAAAGTAATTCAAACATTTCAACTCAAAACACAAAATTAGTAACTTCATTAAGTATCTTGGGAACAAAAACAATTTTAAATCATACAAAAATTTTGGTTTAGAACTTGTACACACTTTTCTATAAATCTTGTACTAGCAGAACATGTCCCACCAAAAATGATGCAATAGAGTATGCAAATAAGAACAATATGTATATATTTAGAAACCAAAAAAAAAAAGAGAACAGGACATCTAGCAATAATAAAGAAATTCAAACATTTCAACTCTAAACACAAATTAATAACTTAATTAAGTCTCTTCGGAACAAAAACAATTTAAATCATAAAAAAAAAATTGATATAGAACTTGTACATATTTTTCTATAATCCATAAAGTTCTTTTTCTATAGAACTTGTACTAGCAGAAGTTGTACCCTATCCCATAAAAAAATGACGCAGAAAATGCAAATAAGAAAAATTCCCATAAATTTAGAAAGCCAAGGAAAAAACAGAAGTAGCACTTCTAACAATTATAAAGTAATTCAAACATCGTTTACAAAAAAGAAAAAAAAAGTAATTCAAACATTTCAACTCAAAACACAAAAAATAGAACTTTATGGGAATTTTGTGAACAAAAAACAATTTTAAATCAATATAAAATTTTCGATTTAGAACTTGTACATACTTGTCTGTAATCCATGAAGTTCCTTTTCTTAGAAATTGTACTAGCAGAAGTTGTTCTGTATCCCACCAAAATGATGCAATACAATACGCAAATAAGAACAATATCTATAAATTTAGAAAGCAAAGATAAAAAAGGGGGTGATATAAAAAAAAAAAAAAAAAAAAAAAAGATAAAAAAGGGGGTAGGATATCTAACAATAATAAAGTAAGGGAAATAATTTTCTTATGTTGTAGAAAAATAGTTATCTTATGTTATAGAAACAAGATTGCAAGTGGGACCCATAGGTAAGAGGAAAAAAAAGAAATGGGACCCATCCATCTTTTGTGTGTGTAGAAAATTTAGTTATCTTCATACAAAATGAGATAAATATAACCTAGTAAGTAATTCAAACGTTTCAATTCCAAAACACACAAATAGTAACGTTATCAAGTATTATGGGAACAGAAACAATTTTAAACATACAAAAACTTTGAAATATAACTTGTACATACATTTCTGTAATTCTTAAAGTTCCTTTTCAGACTGAATAATTCACTCATACTAAATTCTACGTGTCACATTAGTCCTACAAAGTCAACTTGTGGTTTAAAGATAAAATCTACAGCTTGGCCTACTATGAAATAAAATAAAACAAAACAAAACAAAAAAACATTTTTATCAAACTTTTGGTACATGATACATTGATACTACACTGTTTTATTCATATGGTTCCCCAGTAATGCAATGAACAACATTAAAACAGTCCAAAAAATGCAAGTAAGAACTATTTTTACAAATTTAGAAAGCAGAAAGAAACAGTAGGACATGTAATAACAATGAAGTAATTTAAACATTCAACTAAAAACACAAAAATAGCCAAAGTAACTTTATTAAATATCTTGGGAACACATTCACCAATATATATCTTGGGAACAAAACCTTTTTCAAATCAAGCAAAGATTTTGATATAGAACTCGTACATACTTTTACATAATCCATAAAATTCCTTTTTCAGACTGCATAATTCACTTATTCCAAACTCTGCATGTCATAGTAGTCCTAAAAAGTAAACTTGCAAACACAAAATTCACAACTTTTCAACGGACATTGCTATAAAGTTTCAGACTGCATAATCCATTCATGTTAAATTCTGCATGTCCCAATATTTCAACAATGCAAATTTGCAGTTTAAACATAAAATTCACAGTTTTTTCAACAGACATAAGCACAAAATACTTTCAGTTACTAACTTATTATCACCTCCAAATCAAAGCTCAGCCAGAGAATAAAATAAATAAACCAAATTTAAAAGAAAACAAAAATTAAAACATAAAGCTACAATGTTTTATTCATATATGATCCACTGGCAATGCAATGAGCAATATTAAAACAGACAACATGTCAAACTAAATCAAAAAAGAAAGATAAAAAAAGAGAGAGTTCAAAACAATAAAATTATAACTTACATAAACCCAATAAATTTACAAAACATTATTTATTCTCTCTAGTTACTCGTTATAAAAACCAGACATTAAATCCTCGCATAATCATTTTCAATTCATGGAAAATACCCCCCTAACTTTCAAAAATAAAATGAAGATTTATAAAAGTCAAAGAGGAGATAAGATAACAAATACTATTTTTACCCAATCAATCAATCTAGTACAGATTATTAAGTACCCAATAAATAAATAAAAAACCCAATTTCACAAATCTTATATATATATATATATATATATATATATATGCACAAACATAACCGAAGTCTTAAAACTTGGAAAGAAGAAAAAAAACAGAACACATTGTAACATTGGAAAATACACATGTATCACCTTCCTTGGGCGGCCCACAGGCTTTCCGGTAGGAAACTTGGCCTGCGCAGTCAATCCCCCACGCCCTCTTCCTCTTCCTCGTCCACCACCGCGACCACGACCCCGACCACGGCCCGGGGCAGCAACAGCAGCAGCAGCCACAGCAATGGCAGGGTTGGTATTTTTCCTGGGCCTTCCTCTAGACCTTGGAGCCTCCGCCACGACGGGCACAGCAGCACCACCGTCAGCCGGTGCTGGAAGTCCGGCTGCAACGGCGGCAGCAGGAGCTGGTGCAGCAAAGGGAATCGGAGTTGGTTGCGGCTGGTTTTTCGGCGGTCGACCCGGTCGCCTCTTGAGCCCATCAGAAACAGCCGCGACGGGCTTTTCTTTAGGGGGACGGCCCACCCTCTTCTTAGTCTTAGACCCAGGCGGACGACCTCTGCCCCGGCGAGGAGCCGGGGTCATCGAAGCAGCAACAGAAGGGCCCGGGCCCGCCTCCATCTTTCGAGGACGACCCGGGCCTCTCTTGTTCTCCTCAGGCACTGCTGCTGCTGTTCCTGCAGCCTGCGGGTCATCAGCAAGCCCAAGAGCGGCCCAGACAGGCTCGGCATTTTGCTGCTGGGAGTTGTTGTTATTATTAGCATTCTGTATGGGCTGAGGTTGAAGGTGTAGGGCTTGGGCCTTGCGGGGGCGACCTCTGGGCCTTGGGGATTGTGAAGATGAGGGTGCGGCTGGTGCTGTTACTGCTGGGAGAGGAGCAGATCTAGGAAGCTTGTAAGATTTCTTGACCATCACGAGCATTCCGTTGTTCTTCAAACGCTTCAAGTGATGAGTCAACAAGTTCGAGTGATTCGGTGGAAGCGTTTCCTTGTAAACTTGCTCTATGTACTTCGCTATTGCTCTTTTGCTTGACCCATCTTTCTCCTTCAGTGCTTCGATTGCTGTGTATATCATCTGAACAAAACCCATAAACAGTAACAATTAGAAAGAACAACAAGAACAAGAAAAAAAAAAAAGAGTGAATCTTTTTGCAGAAAAAAATATGGGTTTTTTTTTTTTACCTCAGCGTAAGGTGGGTGGTTCAGTTGTGGCTCCGGAATGGGAGCTGGAGGGTGGTTGTTCGGTTCGGCGGCGAAAGGGACGGTGGTCGGAGCCGGAGCTGGAGGGATCGAGGATGGGTCCATAGAGAGAGAGAGTGAGTGAGGAGAGAGAGAGAGAGAAAAAAAAGGGTAGATTCGAAAATTGGGAAATGGATGATTTACTGTGTATATGAGAGAGAAAGAGATAGAGAGAGAAAAATGATATTATTATTACAAAGAGAGAGAGAGAGGAGAGTTAGGTGGTTTTGTAAAATGTGATGTGTGCTAGGTGGAAATTAAAATTGAAATTGGAGAGAGAGAAAATAATAAAATAAAATAAAAGGGTTTGATTTTATCATGTTGTATGAGAATTTAATTTTCATGTTGTGACTCAACTAGTGGTGAGTTCCACATTTATTAAAAATAAAAATAAAAATTTACACACAAATCGAAGAGTCATGACATGAGAATATAATTCTTATGCAATACGAGAAAATATTTTCCCAAAAATAAAATGGAACAATCAAGATTTAAAGGATGGTGTCTTAAAATCTAAAGGGAGAGTGATGAGTATGATGAATTGATGATGATAGATTAGATTGAGATCTTATCTTCACCGTTCATTATTAACATTTTCCCTTGTTTAGATACTTGATGTGGATTCTATTATGTCGTTTTTCATTCTTTTTCTTTTTTTCTAATAATTTATTTTAGAGTTTTAATTTTTTTATGCAATAAAAAAAATTCTCATATTATATATACATCTTGTGTGGATCCACATTTATTTTAAAAATAATATACAAAATTAAAGAATCATTGATAGAAAAAAATAATTCTCTTATAACATAAAAAAATATTTTTTCTTTTTTAATGGTTTTTTTTTTATCTTTGATTTGCTATATGGGGTTTGCAATTTGGCCCCTTGATTTTTTTTCCCCCTTTTTCTCCCTCTTGTTTTCCCCCCTATTTTTTTCACTTTTGTTTTAAAACAGACACACATCCTTTCAATCCTACTTTCAATCTTTCAGCATTTAATGTGCAGCTGGACACTTTGTTAACTTAACTTACTACTGTACCTTGATGGGAAATGATTTCTTTCTATCAAGTTTTAGTAAAATAGATCTCATATCAATCAATAGTTGAATGTTTCAACTCAAGGATTTAATTCTTAAGTATTAACATATCATTTAATGATTTGTCTGTAAAATGAACAATAAATGGATGAATTATGAACTGAACATCATAAGATTTGTTTTGAACAACAAAGTAGAAATTGAATTTAGCCGAGGCTTGTTGTTTCTCATTAAACAAGTAAATGAACTACCACATACAAGATCTATTAATTTCTTTTTCATTCATGTAAATATTCAATAATACAATTTATACAAATTCAGATATCTAAAGTTTGGAGAATCATCATTCAATTACTAGTATTTCAATTTGATTTATTATGAGAGATGCTGTCATGCACTCAGAAATTTAAATTTAACTTAAAAGCTGTGGAGTAATGGAGTTGTATTTATTTAGACAGTTGTATGCTGAAAAGTTACAATGAAAACAAGGAATTATTATTCCAATGGATTTATTGAAGAAGTAACGTAACAGAAGAAGCACACCATCTTCATCTATTGAGATATTCAATTCAAACTTTTGGCTCACCAATTTATTTATTTTCAAATTTTAAAGAAAACAAAACTTCTCCCGCCCATTTGAAAAAAATAAGAGCTAATACATTTTTGAAAAAAACCTTACTTTGGAATTATATTTAAAATTTTAAACAATGCAAGTGAAGTCATTATTGTTACGTATACATCGCGCTCATTGGTCCACATTCCACAAGGGTAAGAATACAAAAATCATTTTAAAATACACGATGTCCATTGTATAACTCTCGGGGTGTATGAACTATGAAGTCTAAATATTAATGGTCCAATTTTTTAAGTTTATTATACAACACTGAAAGTGTATGAAGTTATGAACTACCAACGTTACAGTTTCAATTTTTCAAACTTGTTATGTAACGCTCGAGGGCAATAAAAAAAACTTAATAATTGTGATTAAAAAATTTAATTACTTGATTAAAATTATTTTCAAACGTGTTACCCAATTAATAAAAATATTTTCAGTACTACAGATATATCGACCATTCTGTACATCTTTTATCAAATACAGTAAAAAAATAATATATTTATATTATTCTTATCTTTATGATTATTTTCTTCTATATCTCTATTTTTTTCTTTTTTAGTATAGATGTACTTATTCCCGTTGTACCCAAGATTTGCTCCCAATTAAGTCATGAGTAGTGTACTTGTGCACATTATTGTCAAAAACTAGTGTAAAAACGTAAAAACTTACGTTTTTACTAGAGTGATACGTGTTAAAACTCAAGTAAAAACTGTCATTGGTAAAAGCTGGTAGAAACGCCGCGTAAAAACATAAAAACGGTAAAAACTTACGTTTTTACCGTTTTGACCTTTTTTACTTAAAACTAAAAATTTAATAAAAAAAAGATTTAAAAAAAAAAACCTAATTTTCGTTTTTCCCAAATCATATTCACAATATCTTAATATCTTTTTATTTGGATATATGTTTTTTATAATTATGTATTGTAAAGCTGCAATTCTATTATAAGTTATGCTATGAGAATCATTTTGTGTTTTTGGATCATTGTGTGCATTGAAAGAAGTGAAATTATATCATAATGACTGATGAGCGATGATCCAAAATCTGCAGAGTGTATAAAGCAGTTAGAGCAGATTGGTTATTCATTACTTGTTAATTATCACTGTTTATAATTTTGATACTTGGTTATGAAAAATAATTTTCCTTTTTAGATAGATAAGTGGCTCAACACACATGTTCATTATGCGATATTTTTTTTACATGCATATATATAATTTTGTATCTTGACCTTAAGTGGTAGAAAGTAGAAACTTTACGTTTTGAGTTGTTTTTACGTTTCTACCACTTCTTTCCGTTTCTATGTAGAAACTTGAGTTTGATAACATTGCTTGTGCACGTTAATTCACAAGAATTTGTCACGTGACAATAAAGGTTGGCATGATTTGACATGAATATTGAATGGATTGTTTTATTCTAGAAAGTATGGATACGTTCTTTAGAGTGGAAAATACGTGTCGGACTCGTGTTCGATACCGACACGTTTCGACATGCGGTTAATTTTTTGGGACACGCTATCAATATTTTTTGACTCATTTTTTTTTCAGATCCAGATTTTATTGTATTTTATCTTTTTAACTAAACATGGAAAATTAATTTATAAAACAAATATTTTTTGTTATGAAATTTGAATATTTGATTGTTTATATGACTTATTATGAGCTGTTATGTGTATTAAATGTAAACTATATTATATACATTAAAAATATTATTTAATATCAAAATGTTTCCTAACATGTTGAAATTTGTCATTTTTTAGAATTAACGTGTTGGCGTATCATGTCATGTCTTATCCCGTGTCGGTGCAACATTTACTGAACCAAACCGAACTTTTATATTTTATTCGAATTGGTTTTTTTTTTCAAATTGATTCATGGTTCAAAACAAATTTATGTTTTATAGCTGGTTTTGAACCAATTCAACGCATACAAATTATAGTAGCCATGATCTTCCCATCCTCTCTTCGTATATTTCAATTCTCTAAAAGGTAATCTTTTTTTGCGCTTCTATTAAAATGAGTTCAAATTCACAATTAATACATGGATATTACCTAAGTTGAGGATTTGTTATTACCTATTCAGTCACTAGCTCTCAATAGTAAATCATATATTGTATCGTGTACACCTCCTACAACTGACACATAGACCACAACTGATGAATATATGTATGTGTAGCTATTACTCCATCTTGGACAAGTATTCCACATTACACGTATTAGTTCACACGTGTTATAGACAACCACAATGATATCACGTGAAAAACTCCCATGAGTTGAGCACGTAGTAAGTGCGAGACTCACATGGGCTTGTTACGTGGCAATTATACATGTACCACACACGCAACTAGTTGCACACCAAAATGTGTGTGTAATCCGTGTAAGATTCAGAAAATTTTATTTATGTCCGCACCATTTTGAAAAAAAATATTTAATTTTTTTAAAATGCATTAAAAAATAAAAGGAAATATACGCTCCTAGCTCTTATGTTGGTTATACTACTTAGTCGACTCTGTTTATTTGATACTCTTTCTGTGTTGTTCACTTGTGGGCCAATGATAAAGGCCACAACAGTTGCTGAGCCCCAAACCAAAAATGCTGGTGCTAACCATTAGCAGCTCAGCTGATCTAACGATAGCGTTTTGATGGCTGAGAGGGTTAATTGTTTAGTGACCTAATCAACTTTTTACTGTGTGGCATTTTGAGATTTCGCTGAACCCAGAAGCTCCTCGTTTTCTATATGTTCTCTCTCTGTCTAAAACACTGGTGATAAGGTTTATTTAAGTGTTTTGTGAGGCTGATACTGAGAGGTGCATTAATAATCTAACTTAATAATGATTATTAAGTTTTTTTCGCCAACACTCGAGTGTATAGAGTAACATCCTTCGATTGTTAACTGAGGAACGTATCCTATGTATTTTAAACTCTAATTACGTACGTCAATTATACATAAAACTTGGAATGAAATTTTTATTAAAATTGACTTTATTACATAATATATAAAGTATAAATTAAATCAACATAGGGTATAAAATAACCCTTACAAAATACAAATACTACAACCAAAATATATTATGATCTAGTAAAGAACTTCAAAACTAAATAAAATTGTAGACTTTATTGGCTAATATGTCTTCCTTGCACACACACAACACTTACTTTAGGCTCTATCCTTCACTCTGGAAGCACACACTTAATGAGATTTTTATCCAAGTGAAGATAACAATTTAAAATGTTTTAGCATAAGTGTAGTGTCTCCAGCCATAACATAGTATTGAAAAGTATCCATGGTTTTAAATGAATAATGTTAACATCATAATATTTCAAAATAGTCTAACATCACAAATACATATATATAACATTATCTGTCAATATATTTTCAGAAGCATGAATTTTTCTATATATCAAAGCTTTATACTTTGCAAAAGCATCCTTCTGCCTCTTTTTATCTAAAGAATTTGTTCCTTAACTCAAGAAACTCATTTTCTTGACCATATATATATATATATATAT